AAAATTCGACTATAAGTATGTTGAGAATGCGCGCTATCAACGCTACATATCATTCTATCCCCAGGCAGCAACGTCATGTCGATAAATGGTAATTACCAGTCCTAGAGATCATATAATCAATTTAAACTGACGTTTAAAAAACATAAACAATTTTGACGTGATAATAACGTCATTTAAAGACGTATTTAAAGACGTCTATAATACACTTATGAGAGGTCATTTTTAATCAGCTGTTCAATAAGCAAAGAATGTGACAGATATTTATCTAATATTCATTTATATCAACTGTGGTGTATGTAACCAACAGATTATTATTTATACACGTTGTTATTTATTTTTATGTGCTTGAAACTCAAGCATTTGATTCTTAGGAATAAACCTTATAGAACTTATCCTATCATTTAATGAGCATTGCATCGTTGCAATTATCGTTGCAATTATTCAATTAGTAGATGAGTTCAAGTTAATAAATGATTCAAAGATTAATGAGAAAATGTTGACAGATAGCACAGAGATTTTAGGGATTTTCTATCATATCCATCAATTTCATAAGCGGATATAGAAATTCATAGAGAATTCATTTTAAACAATATCTAAATAATTTAAAAAAATAAATATCTGAAGAATTCTTTAAGAATTATCCGAGCCTGATTTATTCTAAAGTATTCTTTGGAACTTTATTATAATAAATATTTCGCGAATCATTACTTGGGATACTCTGAGAATTTGTGAGAAATTATATATATTATTAACTAATTTTATTTACATTTTATGGTTACATTAGAGAGATACTCCATCGCTTATAATAAGCGCTGATTTGTATGTTATATATAAATTTAATTAACTTAATAAAATCTTATATAATAAGGTAGATTTTTTTTAATAATACTACTTTATAATTACTCAAAGTTTATAGTCTTTTATGACTTTATTTAATAACAGTTAATAATAAAAAAATGTTTACTATAAAAATTTAAAGATAACGAAATGCAATGTGCGGGATTTTGTAGACTTTACTTCATTAGCTAAGAGTTAAATTAACGATAAAAGTACAAAAAATATAATTTTTATTGAAATTTAATCATTTTATTAAATCATATTATCAAAAAATTATATTAATTACAATTAATTATGTTAATTACAACATATGTAGACAAAATATAAGACATATTGATCGATGAAGTGGTGTCGTGTCTAAAGCAACAGATTCATAATCGAGAGGTGCTTCGCGGATCCAAGTTCGAGTTCCACCAGTGCTAGTGAGAATTTTCAAACGTGATGTAACATTGGAATTAAGTAATCTAAAATTTTCAAGTGAAATTAGCAACGCTGTGACATTTACGAATAGTTTCTGTTAGAAAATTGAATTAAATAAGAATATTCCGACACGTCATTTTTATGTCTCTTTACGACACTTTCACGTTTTACTATGACATCGGTGGGTTGTGACTTATTCTGGTCATTTTCACGTCATTATTACGTGATTATAAAAGGATAATTGACGTCACAAATTACAAAAAACTGACATGAAAATTACGTGTTGCCTGAGATAGACGTCCAAAATAGGTACAGAAACGGCCTTATTTCGGACATTTTATGGATGTCCAAAGTTGTGTCAAACGATCCTATGGATGTATATCGGATGCCCATGTGCTATCTGGGCACACACATATATGTATATATATGTATACAGATATTATATAACTGTATAATCAATATACAAACAAATTGCTGTTTTTTTTAACTAATGTATTGAAAAAATTTAAATAAATGTACTTTAAAATATATATGTTTTACCCTTTACTTTACAAATTACAAAATTATCCTGTAAATTACAAATCAGGGTGCTTCTTTCACACGTCCATTAGACATCCATCGGATATCCACCAATTTCATAAACGGATATCCTATGGATGTCCACTGAATGTCCAATTGACGGATGGTTTATAGATATCCTCAATATCCTTAAAACACATCCTATGGATATTCTTAGGATATCCGTGTGCTGTCTAGGCAATATAATTGGTCAACTTTAATCGTTTATAATTTGAAAAGTATTATAGTCTCAACATTTTTGCATTAGGATTTTTTTCTTCAAGTTACCTCAGGAATCCGTCCTTAAAAGATAATGCGGTAATGGCGGGACACCCTGTATAAATTAACGCTTATTACCCATACAGCACACTTTATTCGAGGGATATCCCACCGATATCATTTTGGGATATCGCAATATCCCGAGATGGTCTCACATATTCTGAAGATATCCAGCGGAAGCACTAATGTCTGTATGTGTGAGATCCTATGGACGTTTCAGACGACGTTCAGAAGATATCGCAAGTCATCCTTCGGAGATCTGAGAATATACATCCCTCAGGAAAAAAGATTGTTAAGAACTGTAAAAAAAATTGTAAGAAAACTGAAACAAATACTATATCCTTATAGAAATATCATACTAAGAATACTGATAATTACTTATTATCCAGTATTTTTAATACTGAAAATAAGTAATTATCAATGATTCTTAGTATGATATTTCTATAAGGGTAAACTGTTTAATATACTGTAAAAATCTCGCAGTTAATTTGAACATATCTCAATAGTTTTCTTCAGTACAGTAACTGAAAAACTAGATATGTCCTATACCCAGACAACACAAAATATTTATAAAAATATAAAAATTTTTTCTTTTCCTGAATTTTTCTTAAAATTTCCACTTTATTATCTCACTCATTACTTAATTCAATTTAAATTATACTTCGAAAAATTTGCTTACCGCTGGGATTCGAAACCTGAAACCTCTGCTTCTTGAATCGTTCACCTTATCTACTGCGCCACTGTCACTTTGACTGAGAAACACTTTATTTCATGTACGAAAACAAATGATTTTTTTAAAAGAAAAGAATAGATATTTTTAAATATAAAAAGTATGTCTAAAAAGTATGTAAAAAGTATATTTAAAAAATATTTACTTGTTTTAAAAGTAAATAAAATACAAATAAACCACTTTGTAAATTTAAATTAATTGTTTTCTGATAATAAAAGAAACTTTAATTTTAAACATAAAAAAGATACTTTTAATATTAGAAAATAATTTATTTAGATTTATAAAATGATTTACTTATATTTCATTACTTTTAAATTTACTTGTATTTCATTTATTTTTAAAACAAGCAAATATTTATTTAAACACAGTTTTTACATTTAAAAAAACTATAGTTTTTTAAAAATATAGTTATATTTTAAAATATATTTTTAAAACTATAATTAATTAAAGTTTCTTTTATTATCAGAAAGCACTTTATTTAAATTTACAAGTTAATTTACTACTTTGTAATTTACCACTTTGCAAATTTCCGATCATAAACAGATGTAATCATATATATAGTCATATACAGTGTGTCCCATAAGTTTGGCAACAGCAAGAAAACTCGGAGGGGGAGCATTTTAGAGAAAAATGTTTCGAATAAAAGTTGTAAGGCTTAAAAAGTCGCATTTAATGACAATAGTTATTTGACCTAAGATGACGTTGCCAAGGTCAGGACAAGGTCAACTTTGCTTTTTTAGGTAGAAATACATATTTTTTATTACGACATTTTATTCCACATGAAAAAGCAAACAACTTTTGTTTGAAAAAATTTTTTATACGATCTCTATTTTCTAAGATATTTACGTAAATATCTACAAAATTATTGGTTTCAATAATTTTTTACTTGAATTCTATCAACTTTACCGAAAAATAT